CCCCAAAACCCCAAAACCCCAAAACCCCAAAACCCCAACGAGTAAATATCAAATTGATTAAAAAATTTTGCTTAATGATTCTTAGAAAACTTCAGAATTCCAATTAGCTTATGAAAGCAGACTAGTACCCTTTAGCATGACATCTTCTCCTCTTTATCACAGCTAGATCTTGCGCCTGAGTCTCACACTTCGAGGTTAAAGGAGAACGGAATTCTGCATACGCTTAGTTACTACATTGTTAAGATAAAATGTTGCTGCTTTTAGAACTTAAGCGATAGGACTTTACCTGCTCGTATTTTACACAGTTTTCTAAGACTTTAGTTAAAATGAGCTTATAAAATAAGTTGTTCTTGCTGATAGAGTCCTTCCTTCTTTGATGCAAGTTCTTTAAAGACACTTCCTAGTAAAAATTAGCTTTAGTATTAAAATTTTATTGGTTAGGAATAGGTGAAATAGGAGAGAAATTAAGGAGAAAGACCTACTTCTTCCCTTATTGAGCTCTTGGTTTCATATCGTCTTTGGAGCACTATCTTCAACTGTGAGGAAAGCTTGAGCTTGATCTCTTTTCTATAGAGTTGAAGCTGATGATAGTGCCTCGTTTATTTGTTTGGCTGGTCCTTTATGAAGTTTAACTTTATGTCCTCTAGCTGTTCTTATTTTATTTGCTTTCAGGCTTTATAGTCACTTTAAATTTTAGAAAGTTATTCTAGAAGGTCAACAAGATCAAATACCCTTATCGGAGTCTGGAAGCTGTTCTTTACTTGCTGAATTCTTGCCTGGAAACAGCTCTGAGCGCCTGTAAATATATATTAAACTTTGTGCAAGCTTGGATATTCAGACACTCCCACTCAAATTCTTGATGGTCGTATATTTACCCTTTCTGGGAGGTATGTCCAAAGAATTTGGTTAATTTTTACTCCCCACATCGAAAGCGGTTAACCATTACTTCTAAATAGCTGGTTTTCATACACTCTCTTCATATTCTTACCGCTTATTGGAGACTGGGGACTTCTTTTAATTTTCTTAAAAGGAGATCAGGTCTTGTTCTGATGAAACCTCATATATTTCCTTTTAGTATTAGGGGTTGACTTAATTCGCCCACTTGGGCTGAATGTGACAATGTGGTTCTTGATTCGTCTATTCCCGCTCTTATTTATAGTTCTGGTGTCTCTTTTTGCCAATACATTTCGAAATGTTCATACCTTGCTTATAATCTATGAGAAATGAGCAACATTTTATGTAAGTTATAAAGTTAGGGCTTGTAGTTACCAACAATACGGTTAATAATTTCCTTTTCATTCTCTTTCATGTACTTTTGTAGCTCAGCATGGCTGAGAGTCTTTAATGATAAAATATCACTGAGATTGTTGCTCCTGAAGAGTTTAATATAGCTGAAATACTTTGAGCTTTTAATCTGGTTAATCGGAGTTTTAATAGATGCTGGCTTGCTGCTCTTTACTCGCTTTCATTGTGGCATCTGTTTATTCCGAGCTTTAAAGTAACAATTAAGTTACCTGGCAACTTAGCCGGTCTTTCAAAACTTGTTTTTAAGTTATTTCAAATGATAGCACAAAATGTTGGTCATTTCTTTATTCATATAGGAATCTATAGATTTAGTATGCCAATTACCCCTCACTGGGAACTTAATAGTTTGCTTTCTAGCTGGGTAAATTTTCTTTAAAACCCTAGGTTCAATAGATTCAGCATCAAGTTGGCATTTATTAACCAGGTACTGATTAGTAAGCATTTTGCTGACTTCACTCTCTTCATCTTCAGAGGTCTCTTGCTCCTAAACTTGCTGCCCAAAGCATACCTTATGATGCTCTCTTTTTCTTTTCACCAGCTTAACTTGCATTGTATGGTAGAATTGAGGAGATGGTTCTCTTCTCGAAGTTTTCCTAAATGTTATGGCTATAATTACTTTGAGTTACAATCATCTTCACTTTTGATCACTATCCCTATAAATATTAGACAAGGAGAAATACCAGAATTGATTGATTTTATTACAGTTGTGCTGACATTCTGGCTTTTAATGGAGACTAACTCAGTGTTTGCCATTTTGTTCCTGGATTTAGTATCAATCTTTTTATTTCAAGCTAGACTAGTAAGGAGGGTGCTTACTTTACTCTACGACCAGAGAGGCCTAGATTTGGCTTGATTTCCATTGATCTGAAATTTTAGTAGAAAAAGTACATTTCATCATCATCTGCGATATTTTTGGACCTAGGTATTAATTATGAATAGAAGAAATGATCATTTTGATGAGCCTGTCAAACTTACTTCTGTGTGATTCTAAGCTTGGTCCTCCAAATAGGAAGTCTCATTCAGGTACTGTTACATTCTTGGATATTCGGTTGGCTGTTCTTGGCTGAAAATACCCTCTTCTTTTTCTTAGGTTTAACCTTTTTGAAACTAAATTTGTTGATACATTATAGAAATGCTATCTACATTGTTGCGGTTTTAGTTAATTAATCAAGCAAAATTTGCTTACGATATTCATTGCTGATGCAGTTCTGTTTTGCTAAACTTCCACTGCCTAATACCTTGGCAGGTTTTATAGTTTATTTCTATTGGACTTCATTTACTTTGTGCCATTTCTTATTGATTTCAATTATAATTAAAGTTTTTGGGGTTTTGGGGTTTTGGGGTTTTGGGGTTTTGGGGTTTTGGGG